AAGAGGGAGAGAGCAATTTTGAAAAGAGAGAAGAGGGGAACTTGTATCCATGGATACTTGGAAAACTGAGGTGCCACCGGAAAGGGGAAGAAAAGGGAAAATTTTGAAAGAGAAAATTGAAGGAAAACGTGCGAACTTTTAGAGAACACATTTTTCAACTGAAATTGGTTCTAGAGAAATTGAACTAAAAAAGAAAACCGCACGGCCTCCCACAGAACAATTCCAAACTGCAAATTAATTTTTGATCTACAGAAAAAAAACTTGGCGCGATCACAATTGCAGGTCTAAAACCGGGCCTCCGAAATTCGGGAAAAGTCCGGCCCGGCCCGTTACAAGTATGGTGGAATTACAACATGAAAATAAAATAAAACTTCAAACAATATATGAAACGGAAAAGTTTCAATTTGATTTTCCTCAAAAGTATTTATTTTTCGAATTTTCAAGGCCTGTATCATATACCGACATTTCAATTTATGTATCTTCTCTGTTTCGAATTGTTCATTTAATTGAAAAAAATTTTTTTCTAATTCCTGGAACGGTCAACCAAAAATTTTGTTTCAAATGTTCGTATAAATCTATTATATTTCAACTTCATAATTTGTTCTATCGTCGAATAATAACCCAAAATATTTTTCATGCATTTACCTTGGCACATCATCATTGACTCTGAAAAATAAATCTGAAAAATGTGGAAGTTGAAGAATCGAACCATTTCATATGCTCTGCTGCTGGGTAAACGCCAGCAGCAACCGTTTAGCTCAATCGGCAGTGGCACATTCCTACAATATTTAGGCCACAAGTCCAAATCTTCCGGGGACTTTTTTGCTGTCCCTCACCTTTTAAAAATGGCAGTTTCGAAATCGAAAAAAATTTAAAAAGTTATACTTGTCTCTATGAAATATTACTTTCAAAGCTAATACAAGTTAACTTTTAAAACCAAAATATGAAAACGGTCTGAAACAGAAAATTCATTTTTCGAAAAAAGTTTTTAACAGTTTCAGATACCTCATGTAACTATTATATATAAAAACGGAAATCACTGTTATCTATTTTTTTTCCAATTTTCAAAACTTTTTCCACCAATTGATAAGCTCGCCATTTCCGCTAGTAGAAAATAGTTCTTGTACTGGTCATTTTTTCTTATCAATTTCATTATTTTTTAGGCGTTTTCAATTTCCCCATAACTCTTCCAGAACCTCAAAAAATCGTACAGTTGGAAAGCCGCTGTTCTCTTATCAGTCCTCACGCAACTGACCTCTTTAAAATTGAAACAATACATATAAGGATTATACTGTTTTTGATTTTATACTGTCTTTATTTTTGCTTTAAATTTTTGTTTAAAAAATCACAAGACGCACTTTGCCGTTCTATTTGATCAGACTGACTGATCAACGAAGGAAGGCAAATTGAAATGGCGTGGTGTTTGATTCAATGATCTATAATTGCTTAACCTTTTGGAATATAAAAATTTCGATGTTTCTGAAAATTGATAAGATTTGATGGATATTGTTCCAATTGTTCTGTTCTCTTCAAGGAACTGATTTATTTGTTCAAAAAGTCATGTTTTAATTTTTCATAATTTAGGATATCTGACTTTAAAACTATTTCTGTGTCATATAGTTTTCTAAACGTTTCAATTCATTTTTCTGAACTCCAATTCCAATCGGATTTCAAATCAGTAGACAAATGTGTGCAGTTTTGCGTGAATCAGTGTTTTCCATACTTGTAAAATTCCGGCCCGGGCATGAGGAAAATTTCAAGGCCCGGTAGCAAAAATTTTGTCATTTTGAACCGAATTTTGAGCTCTTAATACAATTTTCTATATTTTTTTGTGCTTTTTGGATTGTTTGTCTGTTTGATCAAAAAATATTTGAAAAAACTCGAAAAAAATTTTTTTATCGAAAAAAATCACATAAGGGTCCCCCTTATGTGTTTTTGAAATTTTCAGAACTTGTGGAATAACAGTCCCGCCGGGCCG